AGCCCGAGCTTCTAAATTTGCCGGAAATTTTGGGTCCTGGGTAGGCCGAACCGGGCTCGCGCGCCGTGGTCTGTAAATTTCTCCAAAATTTTGAAGCCTAGGCGCCCCGAAGCGTGTTGCACCGCATAGAGCGCGTGTAGCCGTAGCGCTTTATAGAGTAGATATCTTGATGAAACAGAATCGATTCATATATAGCTTGCGCGTTCTAGTATACAGCAACCATAAAGTTAGCTCGGCTCGTGGCTTCTTCGGCATACGGATGGGCATGTTCGGATAAGCTGACGTCATGGACCGATTGCAGTATGCTCATGTCATGGGAGTTGCAAGAGCTACAAGCCAATGGAAGAAGTACGCGGCAAACTGGTGCAAGCGTAAGCGGACATGCAACTCAAAAGCAGGGTATTTGTGCCTGCACCAAAACCTCCGAGATTTTATTACCGGGAGAATGTTACCCTAAAGCTACCAAAATTCGGAAGATTTAAGACCGCGAGATTTCCTAAAGCTACCAAAATCTCCGAGATTTTAGAGCCGGGAGAGAGGTGCTCGCGGTACTAAAATTTCCAGGATTTTAGTAGCTCGAGACAAGCATGCAAGAGCTTTCACGAAGAGATGCCACAAGCGACTGCATTCCAGGGGGGCCAGGGTGCGCACAAAAATATGGACGCAAGCGGCACGACACCGTTTTATTAGAAATATATATATATATATATATTTATATATTATATTGCATATATTTGTTAATTTAATATAAAATATTTCAATTAAACTAAATCTAATCAAATATAAGATATACCAAAAGATCAGAAATCGAGTTCATAGCTACGAGTATAATAACAAGTTCGAAATGATTTCGCCGCAGCAGTGTCGCTTGAATGATTTAACCCTGCCGATAGCATGCTTTGGTTTACAAGTGAATATAAAAAAATAGGAGTTTGATTGGGTCTCGTAATAGCTATCGTTGCTGGTAGCAAGGTAGCTCCTAGAAGAGCTGCCACACCAAACAATGCTCCTAAGCGCAACGGCACAGCACTCGAGAGACCTTGCTTCTTTCCGAAAGCCGCACGGCTCAACGCGTAGCATCTGTGGCCTCTGAAGGCCATCAACGGCAAAAGGGTTCCCTATTTTGAGAGAAACGGCCGTCGCGGGCAGGAGAAATTCACACGTGGGTTTGCTCATGTCGAAAGCTGCACATGACATGTCCATGGGAATGCTAACACTCCTCCGGAGTTTGCACGCCCAAAAGCCCACAGATGAAGACTTGAGGAAACACCGTTACCGCCGCTGCTTCAGACGCTTCGCCGAAGTAAAGTTCGGGTCGTAAGTGAGCTTCCAGCGACTTGTCTGTAGCAGTTGGTGAAGGGCCCCGGGACTCGTAGGCTTGGTGAGAGAGTCTGCGACCTGAGCGTCACTGTTCACCCAACGGACGGTAGTCTTGCCCTCCCTGATGCGTTCACACAAGGAAAGCAGCTCCAGAGCACTGTACTTCTCCTGAAGCCCACCCGCCGCGGAGTTGAGGTCCTCCTTGTGCAACACGTCGTACAGGCTCTTGGCGTCAGTGACCAAGATGCCGGGCACCGTCTGGATCTCTTCGCCGGGCTTCCGAAGGTCCACGCTGTAGCCGAGCATTTCCTTCCACTGGAGCCGGACGAGCATAAGCTCTTCTTCGGCCTCCCAGGCTGCCTGGGTTTCAGCAGCCAGGCTTGACCTGGCCACACGTTTCAGCCGGGCACTTCTCCAGCTGATTGGTGTCACCGCCGCTTGCTCTCCCCGGGCCATTGCACCAGTAGTCGCACAGATGAGGTAACCACCCGTGGATCCGTAGTCAGGGCGGTTGCCGACTGCAGCGTCGGCCCAGGCCACAAACGACACGTCCTCGGGACGTGCCCCATCCAGATCCGTCACTTTCATGTGAAGGAATCGGCCATGGTAAGCTTCTCTCACCAGTTTGTTGGCCTGCTTCAGGATCCGGACAGTGGCCTTGTTCACGCAGGACTGCAGCATGCTCAAGTGCACCATCAGCTGTGGCGCCGTGCTATAAGCACGCCACTGCAGTGCTCCCAGAGCGGCCCGTAGCTGAGCCACTTCGTCCTTTGTTGCTGGGGAGTCCTCGTCTCTCGACTCGTATTTGATCTCGTCATCTGAGAACAGTACTTGGACTGGTCCATGATAACCTCGTGGTGGCCCTCCTTGATCATCACGCCACAGCGGTTGTAGTCGATGACCTCCCATGGACTCCAGCGATAGCTGGAGTGGAAGCGGTTGACAACGGAGACCCAATCAGCATCCCCTTCGTCACCCGTGATGATAAAGTCGTCGACATGGGCTGATATCAAGCCCACCAGGCGAGGAACCCCGTTGTGGTACTTGACGAACTTCCAGCAACAAGGTTCGGTGCGCAGTTGCACCATTCCAAGGCTGCACAAAGTACGATTTATATCTCTGAACCATTCAGCCGGGGCATTGACTAGTCCATAGCAAGCTTTCGCTATCTGGACCACCTCGTTGCGCTGGAGCTTCATCGCCGCAGCCAACTCTGGCACAGGGCGTGCGAACACGCACCTCGACATTTGTGTCGGCGCTGTCTGGAGGAAGGCTGCACGCACATCGGCTTTCATGGTTTTCCAGTGTCTCAGGGTGGCCTGTTGATACACAAGCTGCCTTGTCCTCCTTGACATCGTAGGGCTCGAGCTTACCAGGGAGGCCAGGTCTGGGTCTTGAAACCCCACTATCACTATGCGGGCTTTTGCTGCCCCCGAGTCTTTATACGTCAGTACCCAACGCATAGACATGACTCGGTCTTTGGCTATGTGGCCAGAGACCCGCCTCGCTGCTGCCTCACGGATCCATTGGTTCACTTCAGTCTGCTTGGCAGCGTCGAAGTCCGCCCGGCTCTTAGCATCAAGGCGGCCTTACTGAACCTCTTGTTTTCGAAGTCCCTTGGCCATCCACACTGTGGGATCACGGCGCAGCCTCTTCCACTGGCTGTCGTTGGCGGGCAGAGGAAGCTCGATTGCACACATGACATCGTCGCCTGCCTCGAACTTCGCGGACTCGCTGAAGAACCCTGCTTCGTCACGCTCTTCACCTGTCCACTCAGCAAGGAGACCTCCTTCTCCTCGGGATCCCTGAGCTCGTGGTGTCTCTGGCGCTGCTTGAGTCGAGCTTGGCTTGGCCCTTGCACTCTGTGACTTTTGCTTCTTGAACAGCGGGGGACTCTGCTTGGTGGCCTGCTGAGCCTGCTGAGCCTGCTGGTCCATCAGAAACCGAAACAGCGTCGGGTCATAGCTAGGGTCACCCAGAAACCTCGAGCCATCTACTGTTGGCAAAGACGCCGAGGGACCACCAGGAGTACGAGGAGCTGGATTTTGGACACTTCGTTCTCGCTTTTCTGCGCCTTGTCTCTCATCTGAAGACGTATCACGAGGACCACCAGGAGTACGAGGAGTTGGATTTTGGACACTTCGTCCTTGCTTTTCTGCGCCGATCTCACTCGGCTGGCTCGCTCTTTCCCTTCCCGGTGTCCTGGATCGTGCCCTCGATCTGCTCCGAGGTTGTGGCGGTAGCATGCCGACGTCCTCGGGGAACACGTAGTCATCGTAGATGTCGTAGCCGCCGCCCTCTAGGTTCTGGAGAAGGCTGTGGAAGGTCCACGGGGGGGTCGCTGCATCCGTTGCCTCCGCTATGGCCGCCTCCCGCTCCGATGCATGTCGGAGCTGGTCTGGGCTACATCGTTTCAGGCGGCCGCTGGCAATGATCCACACCGTCTGGGCTGGACGTCTCGTCGCTCCTTGGTTGTCGTTCCTTGTCTCAGTAGCCAGGACCCTTCCAGGGCCGAACCATCGGCCCATGCCAACCTTAGCAAACTCCAGGCCTGGATGAGCAGGAGAATAGGCCGGAGGCTGCACTGGGCGATAATACACGAGGTCGCCTGGCACAAACTGCACCTTGCGCCTTGACTTCATGTTCAGCATCCTGCCGAGCTGGTAGGAGGCCTGGGACCTGCGGGCAATGTCCTCCGCTGCCCTCCGGACCTCCATGTGGTCGTGAAAGGTGTGTCCTGGCTGCAGGGAGTTCTGAATCGCCGGCAGGTCCTGCTCACTCTCAAAGAGACGTCCTCCAGGGCCAAAGTCGCGCCCAAAAGCCCACTGGGCCGGGCTGAAGCCCTGAACCCTGTGGACCGTGTTGCGCGAGGCCGCGCTGTGAAGAAGAGCACGGTGAGCTCCCACAGGATGACCAGCCAGGAGGGTGAGAGCATCCTGCTTGAGCTTTTTGACTATCGACTCAACCTGGCCAATCTGGTGGTGGGCCTCGGCGGGACACGGGGTGACCTCTATACCAACATCGGCGGCCCATGCCTCGAGCATCTTGGACTTGAAGCATCCCTCGGGATCACATCGAATGGCCTCTTCTGCAGTAGCGTTTCGGCCTTCTTGGTGGCGCCGGTCGAACAGCTTGGCCACGACGGTGAAGTGGGTGACTGTTTTACTGTGATCAAGCTAGGGGACGGTCTCATCGGTGATCACCATAAAGTGCGTCACGGTGTCCTCGACACGGATCTCGGCATTATCAATCTGGATCACCTTCCAGGGCACCTCGCTTTGTTGTAAGGAGACACTTGGAGCCAGGTCCGGTAGTCGCATCTCCTGGCAGTCGGGACACGTATGTTCCATGGCAATCTTGATCACCTCATGGTGGGCGCCCCGGGCCTTAAGCACTTTTGCCAGGGTCTTTCCAGAAGGATGACCGGCACGAACATGAAGTCGATGCACCAGGGCCTCAGCTCGCTTGCGGTCCGCTGGCTCGAGCTTGGACTCCAGCAGGGGCTCGTCACTCAGACCAAAAGCACTGGCCTGTTGTTCATCTCCAGCACGCTGCTCACAGTTCACAGCATACTCGGCAACGGCCCGGCACAGCTTCTCGGGATATCTAGAAGATGCCGGCAAGGACCTTGTCATAAGAGTCGGGCCCCTCTTGTCGATGTTCTCTGCCTGGGCGTGGGAGCACAGGTCGGGGCTGGATGTCACAACGCGCCACCTTTTCCCAGAGCACTTGTCCACAAAGATGGTGGTATGCATAAGGCCCCGCCGCGCAAGCTTGGCAAGAAAGCCTTTTACCTCGGGCTCCTTCCAGGCAGAGGTGTGCTGGGGCCATTCCCAGGCCAGGTGGCCAGCACGTCCAATCTGGTCCTCGGCGCAGTCTTTAGGACCTTGCGGCACCGGCGTCGTCGGTGAAGGTAAGTTCGGTGCTGGTCGTCGGTGCTCTCTCGCTGCTCCCACTCGGGGTCCTCTAGTGCAGCGCATGGCACAGACACCCACATCAGTGAGGGAGCCAGGGCCTTTGCAGCCCTCATTGCCTGGTCAAACCCAGACTTGCGGCCAAACTCAAACTCGTAGGGGCTCAGCCTGGCTGCGTTGCCGTGTCTCTCCTCAACTGCGTGCTTAATGCCGCTGTTCTCAGAGGCGCCAATCTCAAGCACATGTACTCTTACTCCAGGTCGATGTCGAGGAAGCTCAGCGACATCGGCATCGAAGAGGTCCAGGGTATCCTTCACATTGTCCCGAATCTTGCTGGCCGCGGCAGCCTGAGTGGAGCCAATGCGCATGGGCGCTGGGAAGTGTGCAAAGACTGTCGGCTGAGAATCCTCTATGTTCCAGCCTACGGCGCTCATGCTAACTACCGTCAAGCTGGACCACTACCCGTCGACGCGAAGAAGGCCGTCGAGATCATGGAGGAACGGGTGGCGGCTGGCGAGCCAGTGGAGAAAGAGAGAGAGAAGCTGAATGCCAAGGCAGTGGCGCTCCAGGGTGCCGAAGACTCTCTTCTCCAGAGGCTCGAGACGGTCCGGGCCCAGAAGGCGAAGGCTCTCGGGAAGCCCAAGACCAAGGACGGCTACTCAAAGGACCCGGCTGGCGAGAAGGACGCGAATCCCGACCGCAAGGAGACCAAGGACGTCAAAGAACCAGGGGCACGCCCAAAGAGGCAAAGCCTGGACAGGTCCACGCGGTCAAGTCCGACTCAGAGGGTTCTATGAGTGCCGTGGAGACCCCGGAGCCCATCGCCAAGAAGAGCACCAAGCGGAACAATGCCCAGCATGCCGAAGCCCAGGAAGCCCGGACCAAGGAGGAGGCCCAGTGGACCAAGGTCAATCACGACGAGCCCGAGGCCTGAACATCGACGACGAGGGCTTCCTGACTGCGGAGGGCCACCTCGAAGGAGCAGGCCAGCCACCATCGGCTGGTGATTGCTGTAGTCGGATCGCGGGGATCCGGCCCCACGGCGCGGCTCATATCGTACTCGGTCTTCACCTTGTCGGCCTTGGCCTTTGCCTTGGGTTTTCGGTGCCGTCCTTGCCGTTGGAGCTCTGGCGCTGCTCTCGCCGCCATCCTCCGCCGCAGCTGAGGCCATGATCGCGAAGAGGATGTTGACGGGAAGTGCCTCGGGACCAGATGGGCCCCATTAGGTCTTGAGAGATCTCGTCAGCAGCGGTCATATCAAACATCGGCACGTGGTCTGGGATTCCGGACACTGGCTCTGTGGAAACTGCCTGCTGACACTCACTTTCCGGAACTCCCTCGCACACTAGAGCAGCATCATCACTGGAAGGACTCTGGCACATGTGACCCAACGCATGACCATGTAGTTCTTGTTGTTCCTGATGTTCGGGACCTCGAGGCTGTTGTGGAAGAGTACCATGGTTGTAGTCGTCGGTGGGGCCTCCAGGTCTCATGTCATGGCGCGCACCCTCCTTATACTCGGACAAGACCTGGCTCAAAACACTTCCGGAGAATCCTTGGGTGGCACCGGGGGTGCGCATCCAGTCGTGCACCAAGTCTAGCAAAAGGTGACCTGAGGCACTCTCCTGAAGTCCAATAGTGACTCCAGGGTCAACGGCTTTGAACACTATGGTCTTGCGCTGAAAATTTATCTCTGCGCCAAGCTTCTTGAGGGTGCTGATGCTCAGAAGGATTGGTATGCGGGGAACGTCCAAGGCAAAGACTCCAAGGGCCACGGGCTGTCCGGCCAAGGTCTGCGGCACCTCAACATAGGATGTGGCGGTCTCCTGCTGGGCGTTCCCAAACCTGAAGCTGCGCTTGGCTTCGGGGTAGACACGCACACTCTCCATGCCATAGCGGGTGCGGCGCATAGAGACTACCGCCTCGATTGCCTCAAGGCTGCCGACGGTCTCGGTCGCCCCGCTGTCGATCACAGCATAGCCGGGGTGAAGTTGCCCAGCCACTGACATAGCAGCCTCCACCTGCAGACTGCCAGAAACCGCTTCATCAACCGGACTGCCAGAGACGACGTGCATAAAGCACAAGGGCTCCTCGTGCTCTGGTTCTTCCACGGTGTCCTCGGGCTCCCGGCTCGCCGCCTGCACGACGAAGATCTGGTCCTCCGGGGGCTCGGGACTCGGCTCGTTCACGTCGGTCTCGGCACCACCGCCCTCGGCACTCTCGTCGTTCTCGTTCTCCTCGGTGCCCTCGGCCCCTGAGCGCCTATCAAGCACAGACTGAACCATGTAGGTGGGGGCCTCGGACCACGGGCCATCGCTGAGGACATGGGCTGCTGCTGTCCCCTTTCCGGAGCTGCGCTTCGGACACCTGCGGAAGTCGTGGTCCTTTGATCCGCAGATGAAGCACCCAGTGTACGCAGCGGCGCCTGGACGCTGTGGCCCTTCAGCCGCAAGAGCCACCGAGGTAGTAGCCGAGGAAGCTGGGCCCTTCTTGCCCTTGCCCTTGCCCTTGGGACTGAAAGCTCCTTTGCCCTTCGGCTTGCCTTTCTGCTTTCCCTTTCCAGACAAGGGATAGAAGCCACGGGCCGTGTTCCGGGCCGCGACCAACTGCCGGGACTCCTTGAAGGTGCGAACCTTGTCCTGGTAGACGGTCAGGGCCTCCTGCAGCTCCTTGCCGGCGGCAGGGTCAAGGACCATAGCCTCGTTCACATCGAACCAGGGCTTGGCATCGGACAAGTTCAACCAGACCCCTTCAGGATCCTCGGTCCACCAGTCACCGTCTTGGTAAGTCCAATGCACCTCGGCATCTCCGTGCATGGTGCACCAGGTCTCGGGCTCCTCTTCCGCAGCAAAGACCGGACGGCTGCCCACCCAGTGCACGTTGCCCTGGGTATCCTCGCTGCTCGGCTCGTCTAAGAGAAGGCCCCACGAGCCCTCTTGCTCAACCCAGTAAGTTCTCTTTGGTCCTCTTCGCTCCTCGGCCTGGAGAAGGTCCTCCTCTTGGTCGCGCAGGGCCTTCTCGACGAGGTCGAGGTCCAGGCGATTGTTCGTAGCAGCAAGGACCGCCAGCCGGGCATGGGATGGCAGGTGAGCACGGCGAAGAAGGATCCAGCCAAGAACCTCAGGAGGAAGGGCGTCGATCTCCTCGAGCTGGAACTTCTCCCACTCAGGCTGGGGACCTTCCTCGTCATCGCTGTCGTCCTGGCGCCAGCCACGGCCAAAGCGACGCCGACCAGGAGACTACCAGCCTTGTCCTTGGCCGTTCCACCACTCTTCCCACTCAGCCGCCGTCCAGCCAGCGGCTCCACGCTCACTCCTCTCGTCGGCGACGGGTGGGTGTTCATCTTCTCGGTCTCCCGGATGGACATCGGCATCGTCTTGGGGTTCTGGTTCACCTGTAGTGTCGCTACGTCTGCGCTCGATCGGCAAGCCAGAGGTCCCAGCAGACGACTTCGGTGATGGGCTAGGAGTTTTGGCCGATGGTCCTGTCACGGGTCGGCGCGAGCTCCCACGGGCCCTGGCGAGAGCACGCTGAAGTCGTCTGTAGCACTCTCTTAGCTCCGTGGCCCATTGCACCATCCGGATCCAGGCCGCCTGCGCAGTCTCACCAGAAAGTCTTCGAGGCGACTGCCCAGGTCCGGGACCGGGCTGCGCCCCAGGCGCGACTCCAAGAAGTCAAGAAGGTAAGTCGCCCCGTCCCGTTGCTGAAGGCGATCATGGTCGAGGTCGCCGCTGACATCCCACGCTCGCCCGGTAAGACGGCTTGCCAGGTCCGCGCCTATCAAGCGCCTCTTCTTCGGAGCCGTCCGCTCCCAGTAGAGTCGCACCCTTCTCACATAGGTGTTCCACCCGGCAGCCTCCCCGTCCCAAGTCGGAACAGGGTCTCGGTCACGGCGTTCCATCACGTCCTCAGGAGAAATCGGAGTCGAGCACACGGTTGCCCTGGATCTTCTCAAGCACTCCTTTCTCACACGAGCCTCGTCCCCTTTCGGGGAAGGCTCCGCTTCCAATGCTGGTAGCAAGGTAGCTCCTAGAAGAGCTGCCACACCAAACAAAGCTCCTAAGCGCAACGGCACAGCACTCGAGAGACCTTGTTTCTTTCCGAAAGCCGCACGGCTCAACGCGTAGCATCTGTGGCCTCTGAAAGCCATCAACGGCAAAAGGGTTCCCTATTTTGAGAGAAACGGCCGTCGCGGGCAGGAGAAATTCACACGTGGGTTTGCTCATGTCGAAAGCTGCACATGACATGTCCATGGGAATGCTAACACTCCTCCGGAGTTTGCAATCGTTGCATTGCTAAATTTTATTTAAAAATAAAGCGAATTTTTCATGAATAGTGCCAAACCAAAATAATTAGATGTGCGAATAATATGTGGCGAGAAAATATATTGAGGTATTCATAATATTCTACGGGATTGAACGCCTATTCAGGCAGTATTCAGTATTCATATTTGTATCATGCCTCCAGGGGTTCTATTCAACTCTTCATTGCAAATCGCTGCAAGTATCCGTTCCGCACCTCTTTGTCGGTAGTTAGTTTTGCCAGTCACTGCCGACTCACGCGGCGTGGTGTAGAGGAGCTGGCGGGAGGCTGTGACGACCCGTCTCTGAACCGTCTTTCTTGCGAAGATCTTCAACTGCCCCTCTTCCCCTCACAGCCAGAAACTCCAATATTCCTTAATTAAGGAAGATTCCTTAAGTTATAGTAGGATCCTTAATATGATTTCAGGTCTATTCCTTAATTAAGGGCTATTGGAGTCTCTGGGCAGCTGCTGGCGAAGGGATGTCGAGCTGGCAGCCTTCTGCTCTGGGTTGATGCGCGCTTCTCAAGTCATCTTTGGACTTGTGGGCACACGCCCCAGACCCAAACTGGCAAATGCTACCAGAGTCGTTTGGGGTGGACTGGCCTCCACTAGCACCTTCTGCCGGCCGAAGCACGTCAACTATGAACTACTGCCATTAACCATGCGACCAGTAGTTGCATACCCCATTCTTGACTCCAGAGTTTCTTTTGGACACGGGCAGACAGCGGCATCTCGCGGAAGATGGCTGTCCAGTCCAACTTTGCACAGTGACGATAACGTCTGCATCTAAACCAAACAACTACTTTCTCAAGCTTACGCCAAGGCGTCACGGAGAAGGGGTGTCCTGGCGGACGGCTGCTAAGACATGTGCCAAAGACTCTTGACTGACGATTTTTTAGCTGACAACGCATGTCTGGCATTGTCATACAGGAACCGATTCGCATGCTTCCTATGCGGGGTCCTCTCTCCACTGAAGCTGCCTTAACCAGCTGCCTGGCAAAGCTGCTGCATGCTGCAATGCACATGGGTAGTTTTCTAAATTAGGGTTTGTTTTGGGGTCCTGTTTATAAGAGTGCCGTACTATACTGGGGACCTAAAAAGGGAGCCTAATTTAGAGAACTACCCACATTCACTCCTGCCATAACTGGCGCAGAGATGTTATTTCGGCGGCAGAGCCCGCCTGTGGCTGTGGTGGGCTGCCTGGGCAGCGGGCAGCATGCCAGGCCTCACATCATAGAATCACCTACTCTAAACCCTAAACCCTAAACCCTAAACCTAAACCACAGAGAGGTCCTTGCCAGGCCCTGCTCTCCTGAAAGTACCCGATTCCGCAGCAAACGGCGCACTTTCAAAGCCCCCAGCCGGCACGAGGCGCTCGTGGAGGCTGGCAGAGCAGCTGCGGAGCTCTCGCTGGGTGAGGTTGAAGAGATCCTGGGCTTTCAGGGAGCGTTTGGTCTCGTACTGGGAATTCACGGCTTTTTAGAGTCCTAGAGCCACTACGACTCCAAAACCTCCACACAATCCCAACTTACTTCCAGGGCGAGGACAACGCACCCTCAACTTTTAGGCAACATGGCAGAAAGCGCCGAACGGATTGGGACTCGCTACAGAAATCTACAGGACTGGAACAATGGCCTGTGCCTACCCCTGCATTCAGCCCACCCCTTGTCTAGTGATCTTTGCAAGGGGGCAGACATTAACGGGCGCAAACTTCTAAACTGGAATCGCGCCCGGAGCCTAAGATGTACTTGCATCGTTGGTCCGACAGGCTTGCGATTCTTGGATTGCTGTTTCCAGCCCTGCTCGTTCTCATCTGTCTTCACTGTTTCGAAGCCTACTGGCAGCAAGGTGACCCAATGCCGCCCGAGGGGCCGGAGGCAACGGCTGGCCGTCTGGACAGCGCGCCTGCTCTTCACGCAGGCTGTCGAAGCAGCTGTGGGCACAAGCCTGGCAGGTTTTGCACGACTGGCTCGCGGTCCTGTGGCTCTGAGGATGATTCTAATGGACCCCGAGTCACTTAAAGAGCACATGCGATCGTGGTGGAACGTAGCTGACCTCCCAAACCATACCGCCTTGAAGTGGCACTTTCAAGCGTGGAGCAGGAAGCCTCGAGGGGCTTGATGCGTGCCTCGGGGTCGTACCTCTGCAAGGACAAGCATCTCCAAATGGAGGCGAGCTCAGACACTTTAAGCTTGGCTGATATCCGTCCAACAAGGAAGCATCTCGACTTCTGGATCCGTCGTTTAGTCTGGTTGACGCAAATCGCCAGTTGACTGTCATGATACTGCGCCTTCCTCAAGGTCCCTCTGCTGTTTGTGTGCGGACATAGTAGGACATAGACACTATCAGTGACATGCAAGCAAGGGCGCTGAAGGAATTCTGCCAGCAGAGTGATGAACCTCATCGGGATAGGGAGCATCCAGACCACGCAGCATCTACAAGTAGTGAGGACTGAGATGCCAGCTCTGGTGCCACTGTTTTCCGAAAGATGGTGCCTGAAATTCAAGCAGCAATGATCCGCACCCGCACCCACTTCCGCCAAGCCACCAAGCCGTCACCGCGTTCGGTTCACCCTATCAAAACCGAGGTGACGGCCCCAGCTGCAAGGGGGAACGTTCGGGAAGGCGAAACTGAAGTACCTGTCCCGAGCGTTTTGTCTTCTCTCCGGCCTTGGCCTCGGCAACATCTCCAAATGGAACGCGGTGCCCTGGCCACCCTGGGAAGAGAACATCCGTTCTGGCACGGTAGTACCGGTAGTACAAAGGTCACTGCGGGTTCATCGCCAAGACCTGTCTTCGAGACGGTGATCCAAGGACCTCAAGGCAGAATGATGAGTCCATCGGATTTCTTCTTTTTCTGCACAGCTTAGGGGCGATTCGTTCTAGCTGGCGCATGATCCATTGGACGAGGCTATGTGACGAAACTGTCGCTGTTCCCACCTCCTGCCCCTCAAACATATAGTCTACACAGTGACGTCCCCGTGGCAGGTAAACTGCTTGAAGCACTGGTGCAGGGAAGAGGGCCTTGACGATCTCAACCAGCTGGTCCACTCCGTTTTCGCCAGGAAAGAGTGGCCGCCCTGAAATGCCCAAAGGTGTAGTTCAACTTTAAACTTCCCAGCTTTCTCTTGTGCATGTGATGTCGACATTACGCCTGCCGATGCGACTCATCGGCAATGACAAGGTCTCGCTTCAAGCATCTTAGCGTGAAAGCATTTCAGACTCTGCGATCTCCAACCGTGACATAACCTGACACATAGACACACATGCTGCACGTGCTGCAACGAGCCTCGAAGCATTTCCGCCAGTACGCAGCCGATGGACCATAGATCCACAGCCGTCGTGCTGTCAAACAGGGATGCAAGGTTTCTATTCCCCGTGAGCTACACAAATGAAGACAACGAACACAGCCTCGTGACGACTACTAAGCTTCCCTACGGCAACGACCTCAGGCGCTGGCTAGTTCGTAGCACCGAAGATGAGCTCCGGTGCACGGTAGTAGCGGGAGCAGATATAGGCAACCTCTGCGATAGAACACACCGGCAAACATCTTCGTCGTCGTTTCGGTAGCTGTGGGATAAAGCCGAAACTTTGTAATTTCTGCTCCCCTGCATCACTGCCCACCCCCCGAAAGGTGCATGCTGCAGTTGTGCTTACAACACCGGCAGGAATCGGCTCTGCGCCCTGATTTCTACTCGCCCTGAGAGCTTGGGGTTTAGGGGTTTAGGGTTTGGGTTTAGGGTTTAGGGTTTAGGGTTTAGGGTTTAGGGTGGAGAGATCTGACAAACCAAGACAAGCCCTCATGAGATTGCCAAAGTCATCAAGCCGCAAGCCTACAAGCCCACAAGGTGTGCCAAACTCTTCTCCCGATAACGGCAAGCCACGACATCCTCCAACCCTGTTTAGATATCGCGGGCAGGAGGCGTCACATGGGGGTTTCCGAAAATAGGGGACCCTAATATAGTACCCTAAATAGTAGGATCCTTATTATAAGGACCCCAAAATAAGGTATCCCTTCCTTTCAGAAACTCCCAAATCCCGAAACCCATGGAAACTCGGCATTTACATCACACCCCTAAACCCTAAACCCTAAACCCTAAACCCTAAACCCTAAACCCATCACACCGAGTGCGCTGCCAAGGCGGGCCGCCCCTGGCTGAGCCGGGCTGCGGAGCCGAAGTCACCTGGGCGTGTTTGGAGATGTTTGGAGATGTTTGGAGTTTAGGGTTTAGGGTTTAGGGTTTAGGGTTTAGGGTTTAGGGTTTAGGGTTCAGGGAGTTCGGTGGGTTTTTGGAGCGGGGTTTAGGGTTTATGCATCCATACTGCCGAGGCAGCAACCACTTCTGGACTAACTACGTACAACACTGCGCCTTCGGTTTACCTGACGGAGGGCACTTTTGTGCATAATAAAGGATCTTTTGCGGGTTTATACCCTAAACCCTAAACCCTAAACCCTAAACCCTAAACCCCAAGTAGGGTTTAGGGTTTGGGGTGGTGCAACCAAGACCTCCGGCGCCATTCTGATGGGCTTTCGGTCCGCTCAGCTGGCTTGCGGTTTAGGGTTTAGGGTTTAGGGTTTAGGGTTTAGGGTTTAGGGTTTAGGGTTTAGGGTTTAGGATTCCACCAGCGCGTAGCATACTTCAGCAACACTCAAACTCCAGATGCAGGGGCTCCTAAATGGCAAGGTACCAGCGAAAACATCCATGACACCTGCTACGACTAGCTTCGTGAAACTTTCCACGCCTTCTCAACGCGACAAGCACCAATGCACCGATGGTGCCTGATATCTGAGGGCCTGGCACAACTTGAGCAGATGCCCCCGTGATGCATCAACGAGCAAGTTCTGTGGCCTGGAGTGGGTGCATCTCTTGCATTCGGTGCTTTCCCTGAACGGTGTGGCATGAGGTTGATCAGCTCAGGATTAGCTTGTTGGTACCGCAAGGCATGCCCTGGGTTTCGACCAAAGCCGCGGGTCCGCAGTGAGCTGCGGATGGGCAGCCCATCCCAAAATCAATTACTCGGGCGCTCTCCTTACTTTGGTCAGGTGAATCGGTCTCGTGCTTACAGTGCTGCGTATCTTGCAGCGTTTCGGAAGGGAAATCGTGCTCAGTCCCTTGGCGCTCAGGTTGGCCTTCAAGTCGCTCAAAAAGCCTCCAAAGTACTAAACGCGTAGCAGGGCCGCTGGATTCGGCTCCTGGGCGCTCCTCGATGTGGTCTGGAAAGTCTGCTGACCCAGATTTTCCAAGATTTGAGTCGAAATGGCGCTCCTACCACTCAAAATCGTGCGCCCCTGCCATGGTTACTTGTTGGTGCGAGGTGTTCCTTTACCCAGGGCTCCCGTTGTGTGCGCTTCCGCCTCACCAACTCCTCCCGCCGCAGTACCGCTGGTGTTCTGGGGCTGTGTATGCCTAGTCAAGTACCCAATAATCAGATACTCTCCCACATAGTAACCTACATAACTACTATCCGAAACTTAAGTACATGATTGTTGGGTCCTTTGGACCCTTGGGGAAAAAGGCAGGGGCGTAGGGCCGACTCGGACTGCCAATCACTCTTTCACTGTTTGGGGTCTACGCTGACCTCGATACAAAGCCATACAACGGGCCCGAAAGCATCTACCAAACCAGCCGCTTGGACTTAGCGCCTTCCGATCCACGGAGGATCCTATCGTGACCCTAAACCCCTAAACCCTAA